GGCTGCTCTGCCAACGACTCCCCTGAAGGTGGCGCCTCTACCAGCGGCTTCTCTGCAGGCTGCTTCGGCGCCTCTGCCAGCAGCTTCACTGCAGTCGCCTTCGATGCCGACAGCTCCCCTGTCGTCTGCCGCTTCCCGTCGCCAACCTTCTCGGCGTCACGTCGGCCACCGGCGATAAAATCGATCGGCGCCGCAGGCGACGCACCAAGTCTCCCCTCATCGCCGACGGCCGACGAGGACACAATAGGAGGAGGAATCGGGACTTCCACTACGTCCTCATCATCAGGCTCGTTGACGACGGTGAGCAGAGGCGGCAGCTCCGAGGAAGAATCCGGCGGCGGGGCAGACGGCGTCCTCGTCGATGCCGGCCCAGACTCTACCTTCCACATCTCTAGCAACAAGGTCTCGTAGAAGATCGCTTCGAACGTTGTGACGATTTTGTTGTCCGTCAAGTCGAGCACCTCCAAGCCCTTGCTCTCCAGCAACACACCCAGGTGGAGACCCCAACGAGCCTTCGGCGCCAGCTTCCCGCCGCGCTGCTGCTCGGGGACCATGAACGGCACCATGTAACCCCAAACCCGCGCCAGTGTCAAATCTGGCTTCGTCCCAAACAACAGCTCGTGCGGCGGCGTCCCCTTTGGCAGAGAAGCCCGCTCGAGGCAGTTGCGCACCCAGACGGCCTGCCGCAGAGCGAGGTGCCACCAGTGGTGCTTAACGCCCATGTGCAGAAGCATCGTACGCACGGCCTCGACCACCGTGCGCTTCTCCCACTCGGCCATCCCGTTCTGCTGCGGAGTGTAGGGGCACGTCAGATTGTGGAGGAATCCCTTGTCCTCGACGATGTCGGTGAAGGCGCGACCGAGGAACTCCCCTCCGCGGTCCAAACGCAACTTCTTCACCGTCTTTGACGTCTGCTGCTCCACCTCCTTCAGCCATTTGTCGAAGACGACCAGCACGTCGCTTTTCTTCGCGATCGGCCTCACCCACACGTAGCGAGTCTTCCTATCTTTCAGCAAAAGAAAGTAGAGGTTGCCATCTTTGGCGGCCACCCGAAACGGTCTGCAGAGGTCGATGTGCACCACATCGGGCGCGTTCTCGGCATCCGATCCTTGGTCGGGGAAGGTGTGAGATCGGCTGCGCCCAAGCGAGGGCGGGGCCTTTACTTCGGCATTCGCTGCGTGCAAGAAATCGATCTCAGCCAAAGAAACCGCTCGCCTGTTCATCGCAGCCGTCATTCGACTGCACGGGATACCAGCCGCGATAATCAGCGACCGCGACACGAAGTTTACCAGCAATTTCTGGAAGAACCTCTGGGAGCAGTTCGGGACCAGGCTACAGTTCAGCTCGTCGTACCACCCTGAGACCAACGGTCAAACGGAGCAGATGAATCAGACAATGGAGCAGTTAATTCGTGCCACGTGCGACGACCCGACAACATGGGAGCAGCAGCTGCCGCTAATTGAGTTCGCGCACAACAACGCCACGTCAGCGACGACGCATCAGTCCCCTTACTACCTGAACTACAGGCAGAACCCTACAGTGCCCATGACGCCGAGCCCAGACAACCCAACACCACGAGCACAGCAATTCGCCGAAATTCTGCAAGCTGCCCGCACCAGAGCCGCTGAAGCAATTAAAAAGGCCGATGTCATCGCTAAGCGCAACGCTGACCGCCACCACCGCCGAGTCACATACCAGTCAGGAGACTGTGTACTGCTCGACAACAGAACTTGAGACTGCCCGTCGTACCGAAATTACGACCGCGCTACTGTGGACCCTTCCAAATCAGCCACATGATTTCCCCAGTGACAGCCCACATACTGTTGCCGACGGACTGGTACATAAGCCCTTCATTCCACGTGAACCTGCTTCGCCCATACATCCCAGCCACAAGCCAACTGCCTCGTCACTGCCCGCCATCCACGACTCGCCCTGCATCGGAGCCGATCATCGAGCCCGAAAAAACCATGAGCCATCGGATTCGACACCCCACGGGAATCAGGAGGATTGAATTCCTCGTTCCCTGGAAGGACCGCACGCCAACTGAGGATAGCTGGGTGCCCCTGGCCAACATTGAAAACCACCCTGCCCTGCAAGTGTACCCGAGGAGCCGGGGTTTCCGTGATATACACGCACTCGCGTAGCGGAGGGGGCTTCTTGAGGGGGGGGGGGGGCAGTGTAAGGAATTTTCTCGATATTCCTTAGCGCGCCCTGCAATATCTCGTACAGCAGCAGCCGTTGTTCGCCCGTCACTGCTAACGGGGCTTCGCGGACTTCGCGCGCTCTGTTTCACCAAACCTCGCACTGCTGGCCCGGCCGTGTCGGCCTACGCTTCGGGACTAGCCCGAGCCTCGCTGCCAGCGTAGCACTAGCTAGCTCGCACGCACCGCGTTAGCGTTTGCATGTTTCGCGTATAAATGTTCGCTCATGCATTCGCTCACATTTTGTACTCATTTGATATCTTAGTGCAATTCTCTCTACTTAGATTCATTGCACCCGTAACAAGACCGTGCTTCTAAGGGCGGGTCAAACTTTGCACGTTTTCGCAGAAATCCCTACCCAACCATCTCGTGTTAAAAAAAAAACCGCCCTGGATCAAGCCTTAACCATTTTGAACCGCAATTGGACGTACTCTTTTGACCCGCCCTAATGCAAAAAAATCGTGAAAGACCATCCCTTGTGGTGAGGCAGTCTTCAGGCGCCTTGTGGTCGACTGCAAGACTCCCCACACCGTGAATTCAAGCAACTTGGAACCAGCAAAATGGTTTCTCCCAGACCTAAACGCCCTTCAACTGATTTTGAGAATTATGTGCGATTATGTGTTCAACTGATGCATCTTCGTCTTCTTTGTGATCAAAAGCGTAAGTTCGAACTCTTCAAGTGCTGTTACGTCCCCAACTCCCTCCACCATCTCTTGTACGATTGAGAGGCAGAAAAAAAAGCGGAATAATTCGTTGGAACTTGGCAGTGTGGCTTTTATCTTGGGGAGGCACTTTTTGTTTGCTCTGGGCTGTCGTCAAAGAATACTGTACTGTACAACATCGTTGACGGTTATGGGTTCACAGTGCATCCCAGTTTCTCATTCAGTGATTTCCGTAGACGACGACTCTGTACACAGGTGCCTCGAGGCTTTGAAGCCACGAATTTACAGTATATAGCACGAACGACGGACAGACGCCATGGTTTTTTATTTAGATGGTCCAGCTACAGTTCCGAAACAGGTGCACCGCATTGGTTCATCACTCTTCAAGTTTCGGTTCCGAAACCCCGACTCGATCCATCCTCGCGCATGCCACAAACAACAAAGAAATGGTCCTGAGAACACGGGATGGGATGGGATGAGATGCTCGATCAAATGAGCATTTATTTTCAGGATGCCTTCCCCGGCGGGCATCGCATAACCATGGGATGTGGTGGTGGTGGAGCACCAGGAGGAGAGGATGGCCGTTTCGACACATTCTCGTGGCTCACGAAATGTGTTTTTCTTTTCTTCGTGGTGAGTCACAACACACGCGACACAAACTGGACGCCGACTGCTTTTTGCAGAGCACGGGGTCGGATTATCAGATCGCAAAGCTTCGTCAACCCCCTCCATGTTCCGATAATTTCCCAAAAAGGGCGTGGGATGCTTCGTCGTTTACAGTTTAGACGGAACGTACCTCTGTTTTTTCGTAGTTTAGAAAGCGGCAATAATTTATCTAGCACCGTTCCTGAAAGCACGAATTGCCGATCAGCAAGACGAGGCCTCCACCGTGGCTTCTACAGCGGCGTCGCGTCGCGGTGACGCGCTCAAACGTAGGCGGCCGCGCAGTCGCAAGATCGCTCTTCCCTCGCTTCCCCGTCGACATGCCTTAGCCCGACCGTCAAGCCTTCTATCCTATCGTTCTCACGATGGTGCGAGCTGCAGGCAGGACGGCATCGCCGCACGGCGCCGCGAAGCCTTCATCAAGCACCAGCATTCTCCCGCTAATCACCGCCGGCCACGTGTCCTCCATCTGGCACGACATCGTTCTCATTCCGCCTGCCCCCGTTGCGCCGGCGCGTGCCCATTCCCCCTCCGGAATCTCCGCGCGGCGCCATAATCAGCATAGTCATCGTCGCCATGATGACAACCTTCATCGTCATGATCCTCCGCCGGCGGCGACGGCGGCGGTGGCGCTCTCGACCTCCACCTTCACGTTTGTCTGCCGCTCCGCCGCTTCCCGTTCCGCCGAGTCGCCCTCCGCCGCCCCCGGCGACGGTGGCGGCGGCGGGAGGCGGCAGAAGGACGACCTTCTGCGAAAGACGTTCCGCGAAAAGCGGAAGGTATTGTCGCTGGACGGCAGTCTTAAAGTGCAAGCCGTCCCGTCGTCGTCATCCTCGGAGTCCAAATCGGCCGAGTCGCCCGAGTCGGCCGCGTCGCTGCTGCTGGCGGCACCGTGGAACATGGGCATCCTGCCGCAGACGTGCGTTCTCGCGCCGCGATCCATGTCCATGTTCTTCCACTGGGGTGTAGACGAAAATCCAGCTGAAGCGAGAGAAAGAGAACGGAGAAATGCTATTATCGGGGATAACGGTGATGATGATTTGGGCGGTGGAGATTATGTGAAGGATTTCAAGGATTCGCTTGTAACCGCATGCGACAACTCGCCGCTTGAAGCGCTCGAGATTGGGTCGCACTCGCGCGAGCCTGGCGACGTGTACGATGTTTTGCCGCTGCTGGCGATGCCCTTGCGACTGATGGGGGCGGAGCGAAACAGCATGCCGATTTCGTGGAGGATTGTAACCATCGCAGCGGACGACGAGCTCGTGACAAGCGGGAAGCTGAAAACTTTTATCCGCAGCCGATTGGACGAAGTGCGAGATTGGGCAGAAAGAACAGAGTTCTGCAGTGAAATCGCAGGAGCAGGTACAACCTCCTCCGGACAATCCACCATATCATCTCAACATCACCACCATACCTCGCCTCTATCATTCTTTTTTTTTTTTGGTTGTAATGCGTGTACTTCAGGTTTCACCTTATGAAACATTCTTTCGCCTTCTATTTTGTTACCATTTGGTGTACAGGCCGAGCGGTCAACAAATTCGCCAAACTTCTCCCCTCTTTCTCATTCGTCGAAAGGCGTTTTGCGGGCGGAGCATCGGTTCCTGGGGAGCGCGGAGCCGGTTGCGCAGAGGACGGGGGGAAGCAGGCGGAGCAGCAACACGAAGGGGAGGAATGCATTTGGGAAGCTAAGAACACGTGGACGAATCGGAAAGCGAAGAAACGGATAAATCCCGCCGCGCAGAGAGCGGCGCAAGCGGCGGCGGAAGCGGCGGAAGCCGCGGCGCAAGCAGCGGCGGAGTCGGCGGCGGAAGCGGAGCGCACGATCCGTTACGCGCACCGCACGTGGCGGATCCTGTGCCACTCGCTGCGCCGCCCCGTGCTGCGGCGCATACTAGCGCATGTACCGGAGAGCCATGGGCGGGAGCGCGCGGAGGCGGCGCAAGCGGCTGTTAGACAGCTGGAGGGGGGGCGGGGGAGGAGATGCGGAAGCGCAGGGGGAGAAGGGACATGGGGGGAAGGGGCATGGGCATGGGCATGGGCATTGGCACTTGCATTGGCATAAGCATGGGGATGGGCATGGGCACAAGCATTGGCACAAGCATGGGCCAGGGCATGATGGGCATAAGCATAAGCATGGGCATGGGCAGGAGGAGGGACAGGAGGAGGAGAAGCAGGAGCGGAAATCACCAAAGGGACACGAGGGAGGAGGTGTGAGCAGTGGCAGCAGCAGCAAGGGCGTGCCTGTTGCTGCCTCTGCTGCATTCTCGGCTGCGTTTAAGACTGCTTCTGCCTCCGCCCAAGACTGGCCTCGCAAGCACTCTCATGCTCACGCGCAAGTGCTCACGCTCGCGCACCCACGGCCGTTGTCAGCGTCTCTCGCTGCTGCTGGTGCTGCTGGCGAGTCCCCCAGGGAGCACGCTCGCTCGCACGCTCTCTCACTCTCACGGCCGTCGTCAGCGTCTCTCGCTGCTGCTGCTGCCGCTGTTGTTGCTGGTACTGACGAGTCCTCGCGAGAGCAGGGTCACACGCAGGATGCTCATAGCGAGACTCGTGACGAGTCTTATAACGAGCCGCATAATGAGTTAGCGAAAGAGTTTTATACAGAGTCTCAGAACGAGCCTCAAAAGGACTCCCGTGAGAGTTCTTTTAACGAGTCGCGTAATAGGCTACACAAGGAGTCTCATACGGAGTCTCCTAGTTCTCATCACGAGTCGCACAAGTGGTTCCAGAAGCATACTCACAAGGAGTCTAACGGAGAGTTCCCTCAGTCTCATCACGAGTCGCACAAATGGTTCCACAAGCATTCTCATAATGAGTCTCATGCCGATTCCCCGCATTCTCCGCACGAGTCCCACAGGTGGTTTCACAAGCATTCCCACAGGGACTCTCGTGCTGACTCTCCTCATTCTCATCACAGCGAGTCCCATAAATGGTTCCACAAGCATTCTCACAGGGTCTCTTTCGACGTGCCTCATAACGAGTCCCACAAGTGGACTTATAAGGAGTCTTTTAAGGAGTCTCCAAATCAGGCCCAAAAGCACCACCCCCTTTTTAAGCTAATCCATCCCTCCCCATCCGCGGGGGATCTCGGAACCACCAGCAGCGCCGCTTGGAGATTAATCGCTCCTCCGGAGAGCTATGGCCTTCCGGGTCTCATCACCCCTAAAGGCGGAGACGGCCTAGGGGGGAGCGGAGGAAGGGGCGGGCGAAGAGGGGAGAGAGGAGGGGGGGAAGGTGCGTGGGGCGGGGGGAGCAGCGTGCTCAGGCAGAGACAGAGGCACAGCTGTACAGACCTCACGGATCTTGCCTCTGTGGGGGAGGGGAAGCAGCATGAATGGCTTAACAGCCCTGCTTCCGCTGGTTACAAGGAGTTTGGAGGAGGAGGAGGGACAAATGCAGGGGCAGGGGGGTCGCTGCATGGGACCGGTAAAAGAAGCGGGCTTCGAGTTTTCATGGGGGAGAGACCCGGGGGTTATGAGAAGCATGAGTGGCTGCGCAGTCCGTCTGCCGGTCAGGGGCTTCTTTTTTCTGCCCGGGATGCTGTGGAGGGGGCTAAGGGCGTGGCTGATAAGGTAGCAGGCGTTGCTGCGAAACGCATTGCTGTGGCGGGGGCTGTAGCGGGGACTGTAGCGGGGACAGTGGCAGGGACAGTGGCAGGGACAGTGGCAGGGGCTGTAGCGGGGACGGCAGAGCACGTGGCTGGGAATGTGGCAGGGGCAGCAGGAGTGGTGGCGGGGAAAGTGACTGGGGCGGCAGGCGTGGTAGGAGGCTCGGTGACTGGCGCAGCTGGTAAGGTAGCCGGGGCTGCAGGTACGGTAGCAGGTACGGTTAAGGGTGCTGCAGGTACTGTAGTAGGTACGGTAGCTGGGGCTGCAGGTACGGTAGTAGGTACGGTAGCCGGAGCTGCAGGTACGGTAGCCGGGGCCGCAGGTTCGGTAGCTGGTACGGTGGCAGGTACGGTTGCAAGTTTACCCAGGGGCGCGGTGGGGGTTGTGTCTCGCAGAGTGCGGAATATAGGCGCGGGGGGGAAGGCGATGAGTGCACGTGTGCGCAGAGGAGCAGAGGCTCGGATTGAAGCTGCACAGAGCACTGTGAGATCGGTGAGTGCGCGGGTGCAGCGGGGCGCCGGGGCTAGCTTCGGAGTAGCTCGGAATGCTGTGGAGGAGAGGCTCGGGATGGGCCAGCATGGTTCGGAAGAGAGGCTCGGGATGAGTCGGCATGGTTTGGAGGAGAGGCTCGGAATGAGTCGGCATGGTTCAGAAGAGAGGCTCGGGATGGGCCGGCATGGTTCGGAGGAGAGGCTCGGGATGAGTCGGCATGGTTCGGAGGTGAGGCTCGGAATGAGTCGGCATGGTTCGGAAGAGAGGCTCGGGATGGGCCGGCATGGCTCAGAGGAGACGATCGGGGTGGGCCGGCATAGCTCAGAGGAGAGGCTCGGGGTGGATTGGCATGGTGTGGGGGGTGGGAGTGCAGTGTTTGAGTCGTTTGAATTGGTGGGTGAAAATATTTCGGAGGGAGGGAGTGAAGCACTAGAGTCGTTTGGAAGGGTTGGTGAAGCTAGTTCGGAGGGTGGGAGTGTGGTGTTAGAATCGTTTGAAAGGGCAGTTGAAAATGGTTCGGAGGGTGGGGGTGTGGTTCTAGAATCGTATGAAAGGGCGGGTGAAGCTGGTTCGGAGGGTGGGAGTGTGCTGGGGATGCCACAAACAGAGGCAAATCTTGGCACCGAGGTGAGTTCTGGTGCAGAGGCGATTGGAGCGTTTCAAAGCGGTTTGGAGGAGTATGATAATGTGCGGGTGCAGAGAGAAGGCTCAGGGGCGCATTCAGATTTGGAGGCGTCTCAGCGGAGTGAGGGTGCAGCGAGTAATGACTCACCTGAAAGAGAGGTGGAGAGCAAGAGAGGGGGAGTGCAGAGCGGTACGGAGGAGTCTACGAGTGGCAGAGTGCGACGAGAAGGCTCAGGGGCGCATCCTAATCTGGATGCGTCTCAGCGGAGTGAGGGTGCCGTGAGTAATGACTCGCGTTTATGCGAGTTGGAGAACACGAGTGGGGGAGTGCAGAACGGTGCAGAGGAGTGTAGCAGTGTGAGAGCGAGGCGAGGAAGCTCAGGGGCGCATTCGGATTTGGAGGAGTCTCAGCGGAGTGAGGGTGCAGCGAGTAGTGACCCGCCAGAAAGAGAGGTGGAGAGCAGGAGTGGGGGAGTGCAGAGCGGTGTGGAGGAGTCTAGGAGTGTGGGAGTATTAAGAGGCGGCTCAGGGGCACATTCTAATCTGGAAGCGTCTCAGCGGAGTGAGGGTGCAACTAGTAGAGACTCGCCAGAACGCGAGGTGGAGAGAGAGAGTGGGGGAGTGCAGAGCGGTGCAGAGGCGTGTTCTGAGGCACCAGGGAGTGAAGTGAGGACTGCAAGTGGGGGAGTGGGAAGCGGGGGGCCAAGGGAACACGAGGAATCTGCAGGGAAGCAAGCGGAAAGTCCGACGTACCACGAAGAAAGTCTGAGGCAGCGCGAGGAAAGGTTGAGGCAACTTGAGGAAAGCCTGAGGCAACGCGCGGAAAGCCTGAAGCAACAGGAGGAAAGCTTGAAGCAACGATTTGCGAAGTCCAAGAGCAGGAAAGCCAAAGGAGGGATCGGAGAGATTGACAGGCTGGTTGTTTCTGAGTCTAAAGAAAGCAGGAGGAGCGGGAAGGGCAGAGGGATCAGGGGGAGCAAGAAGGGCAAAGAGGGCGGAAGAAGGGGAGGGAGTGGAGAAATTGGAGGGCTGATTGTTTCTGAATCTGAAGAAAGCAGGAGTGGAAAGGGCAAAGGAAAGGGAGCGATCAAGAAGGGCAAAGGGGGCAGAGGGAGTGGAGAGATTGGAGGGCTGGTTGTGTCTGAGGTGACTTTTGAGTCGACTCTTAAGTCACCTCAAGGGCTGGTTGTGTCTGATTCGGAAGAAAGCAGGAGGAGCGGAAAAGGCAGAGGGATTGGAGGGAGCATAAGGGGCGAAGGGGGCGGAAGGAGTGTAGGGAGTGGAGAAATTGGAGGGTTGGTTTTTTCCGAGTCTGAAGAGAGCAGGAGGAGCGGAAAGGGCAGAGGAAGTGGAGGGAGCAAGAAGAGCAAAGCGGGCGAAAGAAGTGGCGGAAATGGGGAAAGTGGAGGGTTGGTTTTTTCTGATTCTGAAGGCAGCAGAAGGAGCGGAAAGAGCAGAGGAAGCGGAGGGAGCAAGAAGGGCAAAGTGGGTGGAAGCGGAAAGAAGGACAGGAAGGGAGGAGGTGAGGAGGGAGAAGTGAGCAGTCGCAGGTGCGAGTCCCTCCCTATAAGCACAAAGCACTGTAAAAGAGACCCCCTTGATAAAATGGCAGTGAGCCCTCCTCTTTCCACACCAGCAGCCTCTCCTCCTCTTTCCCCCTCTTCCATCTCACCTCCTCATACTCCATCTCAGAACTCCCCTCTTCTTCCCTCTCACTCCACTCTTTCTTCCACCTCTAGCTCTAATGCCCTGTATGATCATGCAGCTGCCTCCTCTTGTGAGTCAACTCACAAGTCAGCTGGAGCAGGAGCAGGAGAGGCAACTACAGGAGCAGGAGCAAAAGCAGCAGCAGGACAAAGAGCATTAAGACGAGTGAAATCAGCAGGAGGAGCAAAAGCAGCAGCAGGAAAAGCAAAAGCAGCAGCAGGAGAAATAAAAGCAGCAGGAGCAGAAGCAGCAGCAGCAGGAGAAAACGCAGCAACAGGAGGAGCAGGGGAAGGAGCAAAAGCAGCAAAAGGAGCAAAAGTAGCAAAAGGAGCAAAAGTAGCAAAAGAAGCAAAAGCAGCAAAAGGAGCAAAAGCAGAAGCAGCAGCAGAAGGAGCAGTAGGAGAGGGGGGAGGAGCAGGAGGAGAGGGGGGAGGAGCATCAGGAGCGGGGGAAGGGGCAGCAGGCGTGGGGGAAGGGGAAGTGGTTGCAGTACGAAAGAGGACTACACCTCAACCTCGACGTGTAGCAACCAGCAGGGAGGATGAAACAAGCACAGCTGCACCTGATGCACTTGCTCCTGCTGATGCGACTGCAACCCTTGCTCCTGCTGATGTGCAAGCAACATCTGCTCCTATTGCTTCACCTACAGCATTTGCTCCCACTGCTGCGCCTGCTGCGTGTGCTCTCGCTGCTGCACCTGCTGCTGATGGGACAGCGGTGTGTATGAGTGGTGAAGCCACTGCACCTGCTGCTTATGAGCCAGTAATGTGTGAGAGCAGTGATTCTGCCACTACACCTGCTGCTGCGCCTGCGCTTGTAGAGGGAGTGCGGCACAAGTATGGGACTGCTGCTCATACTACATCTGCTGATACTGCTCCTGCTGTTGCTGCTCCTGCTGTTGCTGCTCTTGCTGTTGCTGCTCCTACTATTGCTGCTCCTGCTGATACTGCTCCTGCTGTTACTGCTCCTGCCGATAAAAGGGCAGCAGAACGAAAGGTTGGGATTAAAGCTGCTACACCTGCTGCTGCTCCACCTGCTGTTGCTGCTCCTGCTACTGCTCCTGCTGCTGCTCCTGCTGCTGCTCCTGCTGCTGCTCCTGCTGCTTCTGCTGCTGCTGCTGCGCCTGCTGCTTCTGCTGCTGCGCCTGCTGCTGGCGAGGCCAGTCATGCTGCAGCGCTATCTGCCAGCAGTGCTCGACTTTCTTCCAAGCCTTCATGGAAGCGTTTTCCATCGTTACGGCCATGTGTTGCGTGTTTTAGTTTTGACAAACAGACCCTGGCAGAGCCAGCAGATGATTCGCCAGCGGGTCTTGTGGTCAGGCAGACTCAGACGGGTAGTGCTACGTGAAGTTGTAGAAATTTGGGGGGGGGGGGGGGGGGTTCTAGCTTCTTAAAACGTATTAATATGTAAATGTGATGAAGCTACCGCTAAATCCTAAAAAGCTAAGTGCAAAGCAGAACAACTTAATAGCAGTTGATTAACTGTTTACTGTGAACAAATAAAATCTAGGATAGACCGATTATATAACACACATCGTGGAGTTTAGTGCAGTCCAGACCACGTCCTGTGTTAATTCGAATTGTACCACAGCGAACCCAGTCAAGTGTGTCACCTGATTTGTCTTGTACTGTACGCGCTCTCCACTCACCCTTGTGTCAGTGCAACAAGACAAGAGGTCGCTGTGAAAATAGGAAAACAGGAATGGATGAACTATGAATGAAAGCAGTACAAATATGAAACCCTAACTGGGTTGTACCCCCTATGGGATACCCCACTACAGCCTACACAGCAGTATAAGCTATAGATATGTTCTGACACACCCCCATAGGCAAAGTGGGGGAGAACAAGGGGTCACAAGACCAGTCAAGCAAGACAAAGCAAAGCTCAGGGTGGATCACAAAGTCACCACACAGTCCGAGCACAAGAGCGAGGCCAAAGGCCAGTTCACAAGCAAGAGTACAGACATATATATAAAGCTAGACAAGCAAGAGCAGGTATATATATATGTCACAGTACAAGTGAAGTCAAGAGGAGAGCAAGTGAGGCAAGACAGGCACAAGACCCAGCTGGGTGCAGAAGCGCTGATGGTCACAAGGCGCAAGTGCCTTGGTGAACACATCAGCGGTGTTGGCCTCAGAGGCCACGTACGCAAGTCGCAACTGACCACGCTGCTGCAGCTCACGAGCAAGGAAGTAGCGGAGAGCAATGTGCTTCGTTCTGTGCTCCAAGCGCTGCTCTCGACACAAGGCCAGCATAGCCTTGTTGTCTACGTACAGCACTGGAGGAGAACGAGGCGGCTCTCCAAGGTCAGTCAGCAGGTAGGTGAGCCAGCGAAGCTCCTGTGCAGCCATGGCCCCGGCGTAGATCTCAGCCTCACAACTGGAGCCGAGAACCGAAGACGAGCGAGTAGACCGCCACGAGACAGAGCCGGAACCAAGGCTGAAGGTGTAACCCTGTGACGACCGCTGCGTAGCCTGGTCGTCAGCCCAAGAAGCGTCCGCGTGGCCGGTAAGGACCACTGGACTCCGCCCTCCAAGCACTAGCCCCATGCCTGACGTACTGCACAGGTAGCGCAATACCCTCTTTGCTGCAGCCATGTGCTCCGGTCTGTGTCTCCCAGGAGCAACATAGCGTGCAAGAATGCTCAGAGGGTATGCAAGGTCAGGTCGTGTGCAGGTCATCAGGTACATGAGGCAGCCAACAAGCTCCGCATACGGACCACTCGACTCTACGGACTCATCCGAAGGCAGAGCTGAGAGTGAGTGGCGAGTAGGCAGAGGAGTGGCCTGAGGCGAGGAGTACGTGAAGCCGAAGCGCTGAAGGACCTGCTGCACCATGTGTGACTGAGTCAAGGTAATGGTGCGGCGTGCTCTGTCCCGAGTGATCTGCAAGCCAAGGTAGCTGCGCAGTTCACCCAGGTCTGTGCACGTGTGTCTCTTCAACAGCTCGGACTTCACGTAGGCGAGTCCAGCAGTGTCCGCTGTGGCAAAGACCAGGTCGTCGACGTACACGAGGATGTAGAACGGCGGCAGGGAAGTGTCGGTGCGAAGAAACAGCGACGGGTCAGCAGTAGAAGGAGCAAACCCAAGAGCCGCAAGCGTAGTCCTCAGTGTGTCGTGCCACTCACGCGGTGCCTGGCGGAGACCGTAGACTGGCCGTCGGAGGCTCCACTGGGTGCCAGGAGGGAAAGTCCCAGTGAAGCCAGGTGGACGGCGAAGCCAGATCTCCTCGTGCAGGCTACCCTGCAAGAACGCAGTGCTGAAGTCGAGAGAGTGAAGCTCGTAGTCGCGCTGAGCGGCTATGTGCAGCAGCACCCGAAGAGTAGTCATCTTCGGGGTGGGAGAGAAGGTCTGAAAGTAGTCAACTCCCTGCCGCTGACTGAAGCCACGAGCAACGTACCGTGCCTTGAAGACAGGTGGAGAGCCCGGCGGCCGCTACACCCTGAAGATCCACATGCCACTGACGATGTTCGCCCCAGGAGGGGGAACCGCGTCAACGTAGGTGCCTGTGGACTTCCAGGAAGCCATCTCTGCATCCATAGCTGCCTGCCACTGAGAGGAGTAGGGACCCTCTACGGCCTCCGCGTAAGAACGCGGAGTCGGGATGTCTAGTGCATCCGGGTCTCCCTCAGGGGCAAGCAGTACAGACGCGAGATGAGGTGAAGCAGCCGCTAGACACTGTAACTCCTCCTGCCTGTCCTCTAGGACGTCCGTGCCAAGAGCACACTCACCCCCGACGGACGGAGGACAGACAGACGCAGACTCAGCAACAAGACTAGCAGCGTAGTCGAGACGACAGCGAGCAGCAAAGTCGACGAGCTCAGCGACTAGAGCAGACGCAGCAGTGGACTCAAAAGAGGGGTCAGTGACGACAGTAGCAAGCAGACGCGTGACAGTGGGACTGGCAGCACGAAGAGAGTCTGACTCAGGGTCCGCAAGCGCAGGAAGAGAGGACTCAGGAGGAGAAGGCAAAGGGGCACGCAGAGGAGCAGTGGACGGACGTAAAGACATCCGGTGCGTGCCAGGGACAGGAGGAGGACGCTGACGCGAACTGCGACCACTAGCGCGAGCAGTCCAAACAGGCGACGCGGGACGAGACGCAGGCTCACGACGCTCAGCAAGACCTCCAGTAGGACCAGTGTAAGGAGAGGGAGCAGGCAGTGGAGAGGAAGGCTCCAGTAGGGGCTGCGACTGGACAGGCGGTGGACCCTCTACTGGAGGAGAAAGACCAAGAACCTGCTGAAGGAGCGGAACGAAGTACGGCCGAGGCCGCGCGGCAGCTCCAGACTCAGCAGGGACAGCACCAGCACCCTCAGCGACAGCACCAGCGCCACCCACACCTCCAGCGGCAGGACCAACAGCAGCAGGCTCAGCACGAACGCCCTCAGCAGCTCCAGCTCCAGCTCCAGGAGGACCTGCAGGGCCAGCAGCTCCGGGACCGGCTGCACCCGCACCCTCGACGGTCGAAGAAGCTCCAGCTCCAGCTCCAGCAGCACCTCCAGACTCAGCAGCACGCCTCCAGCGGCGAGCGAACCACTCGCGCAGCTCCTGTGGAGAGAGGGGCTCCCGGCGAGACGCAGCAGCAGGAGAAACCCCAGGCTCAGCAGCTCCAGACGCAGCACCCCCAGGCTCAGCAGCTCCCAGCTCAGCACCCCCAGGCTCAGCAGCTCCCGACCCAGCACCCCCAGACACAGCACCCCCCGGCTCAGCACCCCCAGGCTCCGCACCCTCCGCAGTAGCACCCTCAGGCCCAGCACCCCCAGCAGTAGCACCCCCAGGCTCAGCACCCCCGCGCACAGCACCCCCAGAGTCAGCACCCCCAGGCTCAGCACCC